CGACTACTACTACTACTACGACTGCTTCCACGACTGCAACTACTACCACTTCTACTTCTACTTCTACTTCTTCTACTTCTTCCTCTACTACTACTACTACTACTACTACTACTACTACTGCTACTCCTGCTACTGCTGCTACTACTACTACTACTACTACTGGTAGCATTAATACTAGTTACTTACTAGTTCTAGTACTAGTTACTTACTAGTTCTAGTACTAGTACTGGTAGTACTAGTAGTACTAGTAGTAGTAGTAGTAGTAGTAGTAGTAGTAGTGGCAGCAGTAGTAGTGGTAGTGGTAGTGGTAGTGGTAGTGGTAGTGGTAGTGGTAGTGGTAGTGGTAGTGGTAGTGGTAGCGGCAGGAGTGGTAGTAGCGCTGCAGGTTTGCAGTAGTACTAGTCCCCTCACCCCTCCCCTCCCCCCCCGCGAAAAAAAACGACCCCCTCACTTCTATCTAGGAAATAGCGTCTCTTGCAGTATGAATTCAATGCTGTCAATGCTAACTTGATTTGATTTATTGAATATATTTGATGATTTTTGCTTCTTTTGCTATTAACACTTACAGTAGCACATGTACTTTCTTCAAGTGTTTCTAAATATTTTTGGTAATTAAGTTCACGATTAACCTTGGGCATTTCAATAACCCTTGCCATATTGCTTATAGCATTGTTTAAATTTAAATCCTCTTCATTTAAAACATTTTTTGTACTTGCTATGGTATGTGTCTTCATCTACATCGTCTTCATCTTGAGCAACATGTGTAAAGGTCAAGTAAACAGCAGTTTAAGCGTTCTTTTTGATACTTAAGATATGATAATCCCTTAAATCCTGAAACGTCGATATGTGTAATGGAATAAGAATTAGCATAAGATTTTAAGGCTGGTTGTTGGTTAGTTATTGATGCCTTGTTCTTAATAGCGTAGCTTGTGTTTTGCTTGACGAACCATTGTTTTTCAAACACGTAATTCTGGTGTTTTAGGTATGTTGTTAAATTTCTCTGGTAAACGCTCGGTAAAAGGTTTTGATTGATTAGATGGATATTCTTTGCCGTTTATAATACCTTAGGTTGATTCATTACACATATCATTAACTTTCATCGCGCCTACTTTTGAAGATAAGACGTATTTCAGCACTGTTTTTAAAATGCATTTTTCATATAATAATATAGGACATCATTCTTTAAGTCTGAGTTTGGGGGGTCTAGCTCAATACCCTGTAAGGGAGCTTCCCTTCAACTAGGGGCGCTTGGGCACTCGGTGGGGGGCCACCTAGACTAAAATTGACACTCCTCCGACAACTGTTTTAAACAGACCTCAGTAAACTCTAGAAAAGGTTTACACACCTCCGAAAGCTTTCTTTTTATCACCCCCTGAAAACTTCTTCCAAATTAACCTTCGGTGATGAAATACACCAGATTATTTGATTGATTTATTCGATGACTACAATGATTAAAATCTACTTAAAATACCGACCTCAATATATTTTAAGTGAGTAATGAGTGATACTGAAAGTGTTATTACAATGATTACAATATTGAAAAAAATTTAGTATGGACGTAATGATGACATGATACGAAAAAAAGTTGTCGGAAGTGTAATTTATTCATTCCCAATTGAGTAGTAACTATGTTTTATTTTCTGTTGGTGTATATAAATGAGAAGAGATTATCTTGTATTGGTTGTTCTGATTGTGTTTCTAGGTTAATATATTTGTATTGTGATGTTGCCTTTTTTGTATATTGTTGAGTGGGAACAAAACGATTATCCAACACAGGGAGAAAGAATAATGAGCGTTTTAAGAAGAAATAATATTATTTTGTATATTGAAACAATTTACTGCAACATGTACAAAGGTGAAGTTAAAGACGCGACACAGTCGCCTCGCGTGCACGCGACGCTTCAGCAGAAGCCTCGCGAGGCGCCCGCGACTATGAATCTGAGTTTTGTGCTAGTTACACTGCTGAAATGTATGATAAAACCAATACACGATAAATTCATGGATGCTTGTAATCATGATCTTAACGAAACAAAGAAAGGGGAATCACTTGTGTCTTTTTTTGTCACCTGTGTCTTTTCTATTGTTCAGAAGCAACAGTCTCGAACGAGAGGCCCCTGGGTGGGACCTGAAAAAGGAAACCCTCGGCCCTCTCAGGTCGACGCCTCCAGATTGCAATCGCGGTTCAGAGCCCGTACTACACGTAGCCGAAGCCCGAAAAGGAATAAGCCTAAACGGAGTAAAGCGACCCCGAAACCTTGAAACAAAGAAAAAGTGAAAGCCGAGACCCTTAACGGAAGAAGCCCATGGGCGAAGCACAAAAAGAAGTAAACCCAGACCGAAACCCTAATGAAAGAAAACAGGAGTAAACCCAGGCCGTAAACGAACCCCGAAACCCTAAAAGGAGTAAACCCAGACCGAAACCCTGTGAAAGAAAACAGAAGTAAACCCAGGCCGAAGCCCTTAACAGAGTAAATCCACCTTGAACTAAGAAGGTCCAATCCGTAACGAGTAAACGGACCCCGAAACCCTAAAAGGAGTAAAGTAATTCCCGAAACCCTTCAAACAAAGGAAAGGTAAGCTTGAATGAAAGCCGAAACCCAGGCCGAGCCCTAAAAGGGAATCAACACGACCCGAAAAAGAGGACACCCTGGCCCCGAAGCCCTAAAATGAATAAACCCAGACCGAAACCCTATTGAAAGAAGGACCAAACCCTTCTGCCAGGCGTGGACGGCTAGCTAAAAACGGGGCTTTCACTTGCTGTCTCGCAAGAAGTAAAAAGACACAGGTGACACAGAACAAGAAGACACAAGTGACACAGGCAAAAAGCACAAGTGACACAAAAAACCAGACACAAGTGATGGGACACCCGCGAAATGAAGGTGAAAGAACTAGTAGAATTATTAGGGGGTAAATATGGTAAATACAAAGAGAGAGAGAGAGAGATATATATATATATACATATATATACATATATACATATATATAGAGTGATGTTGAATTAAATCAGTGCTTATATCATTACCTACGAATATTTTCAATGATTATAACATATGTAAACAAAAGAGAAGTCATTAATGATTTAGTAGAATGGATAGAATTGAAAGTCATTAATAACTAAACTTCAAGATAAAATCCCAACAACTATTTATAATGACGAAATAATTCGAATGTTGCTAAAACATTAGAACCTCAAACACCTGGGTTTGTTGGACAAAACCCTGAAATATTGGATGAAGAAGATAAACATTAAATTAGAAAATTTTTCTTAAAGCAGAAAATTTTTAACTGAGTATTTATAAATCATGAATCAGGCATCCAATAACCCCAGAAACCCCGCCCGAAAATGAAATTCAATATTTTTGAATGTCTTGAAAAACTTCGTGAAAAATACAGCACGTATTAGCAGAAGAAGCTGGAGACCTTCGACAGCGACTCGCATCCTACCGTCACAGTGTGCTAAGCATCTGCGAGGCATCTGCAATCAAAAGTTCACTCATCAGCATGTGTAGAGCTCGTTTCCGAGGTGGCGATCGAGTGGGAATTGCACACCGTGCGCCATATCAGGACAATTAATTCTACTGCTCCTTATCTGGGCTTTTGCAAGGTGGTGATGTTCTGAAGTGGGTCGGCTATGACGGAGACAGCGAAGCAACCCGCTGCGCAGCCGAGTTTGCCGTGCGAGCCCCATCCTGTCATTCTGCCGTTGGCTTGTCGTGTGCTCCCATGCCATGGTAGTTTCGAGGCACGAATCGAAGAGGTGATATTTGGTTTGTGTCACAATGCTGCTGACGTGGTGCCCTCCGTGACGTCGGCACTCAAAGGCAAGTGCATCCCAAACCCATCAAAAGCTCTTGGCGACGTTCTATCCTCGCAGAGTTGAGGTGTACAATGGCGGTCAGAGACGATGTTCACGTGCTATCCCGCGGACAGCCGTGCCAGCCTCCTGTCCACAGAGGTCAGGCTTTTTCTCGAGGGTTGTTCCGGCACGCCTGATCGGTTTGAGTTGGACATGCTGAGGGTACTTCCGTCACACGGATAACTCTTCCGGCAACGGTAGACTCCTCACTGCTCTTGTTTACCTGAATGCCGCTGCCTCGGCCTGTGAGGGTATTGCTCTGCTTGTGTATTTTGAGATGAGCTCGACGTGTCAGGAGAACTGGCAGCGAGGTGATGGAGGTGAGTTGCGGCTTTTCCACCCAGGCCTGCGTGCACAGTCATCCAGTGCAGAGCTGTGTCATGCATCTGGTGGAGGTGAGAAAAATTTGAAAGTTGGTGCCCCAGACTTTCTGTCCCGGGAAGCTGCAGTGACCTCAGCTGCCACGTCCGAGGTTCGCATGGAAATTGAGCCGTTGTGGAATCGCTTGCTTCTCTTTTGGTCTGACGACCGAAGTCCGCATGAAGTGCTGTCAGCTTGCAAAGATCGTGACTTGGACGATCGTTCGGTTTTGTTCGACGGGGAAGTCACACCAACGAAATTGTCTGCAAGAAGTAATATGCACGCAAGGCTTTGCGGCCACGGTGTGGTATTATGACGAGAAGAATCCAAGCATCCCACTTCATGCACCTTGGCCGTCAGGTAGAACTAAAGCTGTCACGCTCAGCTACGGGAATGTGTGGCAGGAGGTGGGCGAGCCAGTGGGGGATGCGGGCAGCGTGGTGGAGATGGAGCAAGCCACGACCAAGCCGAAAGGAGTTGGCATTCGCGGGGCGGCGCCGCCCCCACCAGGAGAATCACCAACAGCAAGCAAAGCTGGCCTCCGCAGGGCTGCCCCCCCACCCGCCGTCCCACCGCCTGCCGCCCCTGCCACGCCAACCCCAGCGCCGGAATCAGGACAGGATGAGCCAGTGCAGGACCTGCCCAGCTTGTGATTTCGACAGAGTTGGATCTCAAACCGAGAGGACCCTCAACTCAAGGTGCTCTTCGATGGTGAGAACCAGGAAGTCTGCGAGCGCCATGATTCATTACACTGAGTTCTCGGCCCTCTGGAATATACGTGCTTCGGACCTAAGGTTGCTCGACTCTTTGAGTCTCGATACTGCGCTGAGCATCGACCTTCGTTCACCTGCGGCAGAAAAGGCGGGGGGCGGTGTGCAGCCTGCGACCTCGAACTGCCAAGATTCCCCAAGTCCAGGCTCTGGCAGCTGCCGAAAACCAATGGTCTGAGCTCATGAAGACCCAGGGTGTCGAAGGTCTCATCGAGGAGGCGGCCCTTCAGGGAAAACTCAAATGATGCGCTCTGCTGCACCAGGACAGCTTGCGTGTTTTGTGACATCTGATGAAAAGGCAGACGAGAAGCTACAGTTTTGCTTCTTCGTGTTACCGGCTCAATGCATCACTTCCCAAATCCAGTCACAGGTTTTGAGCAGCACTGCAGTGCAGGGAAGTGTCAGGACTTGTGAAGACAACCATGTGACCGCCCCCAACCTGTGGACAAATCACGGAAGAAGACCTGACCGATCTCACCCTTCAGCAAAGCACGAGGGCAAAGTGCAAAGCAGAACCTGCAGACTTGCTTTTGTGTGTGTGTGTGTGTGGACTTCTC